ACCCTATCTACGCTGCCCCCAGTCACCAACCACCAAGGCCATGCCCTACCTACCCTGCCCCCAGATTTGCAACTCAATAAAAGTGAGAGCGTCTGTCCCGGCATTCAGGGCCACTGCTGGTCTCCTCGATCTGGGTAGCAGTGGACCCCTGGGCCCAAACTCTCTTTTCTCTATCTCTGTGTCCATGTGTCTTTTATTTCTACAATTTTTTCATCTCTGCACCAGCCAGGAGGGGCTCACAGAACCCTGCAGGGCTGGACCTCACAGGTACAGACCCAAACAACCTGACGCAAACATGGAAACCCTGTCTCTACCAATTAAATACAAAAATTAGGCCAGACACAGTGACTCACACCTGGAATCCCAGCACTTTGGGAGGCCGAGGCAGGTGGAGCACTTGAGGTCAGGAGTTCAGCATGCGTGAACCTGGGGACATTAGGCTGAGTGAATTTGGCCAGTCACAAAAGGATGAATACTGCACAATTTCAACCTACGAGGTCCCTGGAGTTATCAGATTCATAGAGACAGAAAGTAGAGGCTGGGCACGGTGGTTTACGACTGTCATCCCAGCCCTTTGGGAGGCTGAGGTGGGAGGATCACCTGAAGTCAGGAGTTTGAGATCAGCCTGGTCAAATGGCTAAGCCCTGTCTCTACTAAAAATACTAGAAAAAAAAAAAAAATTAGCCGGGCATGGTGAAACATGCCTGTAATCCCAGCTACTTGGGAGGCTGAGGCAGGAGAATCTCCTGAACCCAGGAGGCGGAGGTTGCAGTGCGCTGAGATTGTGCTGCTGCACTCCAGCCTGGGCGACAGGAGATTCCATCTCAAAAAAGAAAGAAAGTAGAAGGGTGGGTGGCTCAGACTGGGGAGAGGAGATCTGGAGCCGTTGTTGAAAGGAGACAGAGCTTCAGTTTGGGAAGATAAGGAAGTTCTGGAGATAATGGCAGCGGCGGTGGCTTGGTGAGGTGAACGTGCTCAGTGACCCTGAACCGTGCACTTAAAATGATCAGAAGTGAAATTATTATCCTAAAAAAAAATCCAACCTAGCTGGGCTGCTGCCCTGGGGAATGAAGGAAGCCTGCCCAGGCTCCCACTCAGCAGCCTTCTTCTCACCCTCGCCCATGCCAGGCCAAATTCCTGAAACTCCTCCCCACCAAGGGATTTGCTACCAGCAATTTCTGAAATGTCACCTCTGTCCTGAAGCCTTCCTGGGTTGAATGAGAAGGCTGAGCTATAAGTCCATCCTGTTGGCCTTGTAAGCATGGGCTCCGATTCCTCTGAGCCTGGAGGACTGGCCCCCAGGGTCACTCGTGCCCAGTTATCCCTGGGGCCGGGGCCACCCTGGAGCCTGGATCTGGCTGGGGCTCAGGTGTGGAATGAGGGAGCAGCACCTGAGCCACCAGGGCTTGCACGGGATGGTCCAGGCCACAGGGCTTCCTAGGAAGTACCAGTCAATGCCTGCTCTCCAACCCACTTAAAGAGCCCAGATACAGGCCAGGCGAGGTGGCTCATGCCTGTAATCCCAGCACTTTAGGAGGCTGAGGCAGGAGGACTGCTTGAGGCCAGGAGTTTGCGACCAGCCTGACAAACATGGCAAAACCGTCTCTGTCCCAAAAAAATACAAAAATTAGGCTGAGCATGGTGGCTCACAACTGGAATCCCAACACTTTTGGGGGCTGAGGTGGATAAATCACTTAAGGTCAGGAGTTCAAGATCAGCCTGGTCAACATGCTGAAACTCTGTCTCTACTAAAAACAAAAATTATGGCAGGTGCGGTGGCTTACATCTGCAATCCTAGCACTTTGGGAGGCCAAGGCAGGAGGATCACCTGAGATCAGCAGTTCGAGACCAGCCTGACCAATATGGTAAAACCCCGTCTCTACCAAAAATATAAAAATTAGCTGGGGTTTCTAGTGGGTACCTGCAATCCCAGCTCCTTGGGAGGCTGAGGCAGGAGAATCGCTTGAACCCAGGAGGTAGAGGTTGCAGTGGGCCGAGATCATGTCACTACACTCCAGCCTGGGTGACAAGAACGAAACTCTGTCTCAAAAACAAACAAATAAAAAACACAAAAATTAGCCAGGTATGATGGTGCACACCTGAAATCCCAGCTACTTGGGAGACTGAGGCAGGAAAATTGTTTCAACCGGGAGTTGGAGGTTGCAGTGAGGAAAGACTGCACAACTGCACTCCAGCTTGGGTAACATAGTGACGCGTCTCAAAAAAAAAAAAAAAGAATTAGCTGAGCGTGGTGGCATGGACCTGCAGTCCCAGCTACTCAGGAGGCTGAGGTGGGAGGATTGCTTGAGCCCTGGAGGCAGAAGCTGCAGTGAATCAAGATTGTGCCACTGCACTCCATCCTCGGTGACAGATGACCTTATCTTAAAATAAAAAAGAAAAAAAGAGCTCAGACACCCCAGTCCTGCCAGGGCATCAGACAGGCTGAGACTCAAAGAGGAGAATCTATTTTTCCTTTTTTTTGAGACAGGGTCTCATTCTGGCCTAGCCTGCAGTGTGATCACAACTCACTGCAGCTTCCAATTTCTGGCCTCAAACGATCCTCCTGGCTTAGCCTCCCAAAGCACACCTGGTCCCTTTTCTTTGTTGCAATTCGGCAGGCAGCTCCGAGGATGCAGAGGCACCTCCTCCCTCCCCCAACCCCCACCCAGGACGGATACCCCCACCCAGGTCTCATAGGACAGTGGATCTAAGCACACCCCCCAGTCACCTACCTGCCAGGCCTGAGATGACAGGCTCTCCGGGCAGCCGCTGGGTGAGGCCCCCTGTTCAAGGTCAGGGGAACCCACTATTAGGACAAACAATGGGGAGAATTTGGAAGGAGCTTCTGTGGAGGCTGCAGAAATCCCCAGACTGCCTCCCTCACACCGCCAGTGGGTGAGGCTTGTCCAAGTCCACCCCAGCACCCCCAGGCCTGGGCCTGTCTGATGTCCCACTGTCCTGCTGTCCAGGTCTGCACCGGCCATGAGCCAGTGCACAGGACGGTGTTCTGAGGACCGCAGAAAGTGTTGGTCACCCCAGCCCCTATCAACACGAGCGAGGCTACTCTTCGCCCTGCTGGGCCACAGCAGGAATGGGAGGCCCCAGCACAGCAGGCATCAGCAAAGAAGCACAGAGCCCTCCAGGATATGCCATGGGGTCATGGGGGTCCAGGCAGCCCCCCACCTCCTGATACCTCCATTCTACCCCTTGGACATAGCCCTCGGGAGCGGGGATAAGCACAGCGGCTGGGTGTGGCCCGGCCTTAGGAGGCCTGGTCAACCTTTGGGGCCCATGTCCCCTAAGACAGCTCCAGTTTGCAAGGCATCAGTCTCCCTGACTGAGAAATGAGAGCAACCCTTCACAATATCCCCACTCCATGGCGCTACCCATCAGAGGAGGCAAGATACTGAGGTCATGAGCCAATTCTAAAAAAGCAGAGGTGTGGCCCTGTGCCAGGCAGCATGGGGCATGGAGGGGGCGAGAACTGCTTGCGGGGGTGGGGCAGGCTGGAAGCGTAGCAGGTGGTCCGGGCACACTTGCACCCACTAGGAGGAGAGGGGCCACTGAAGGGCCCAGCAGACCAGGGAAGTCCCCTCTTCCTCCTGCCGGGCTGGGAGGCCCAGAGGGTGGCTGGAGAGGAGCTCTATGTCCAGAGATGCTGCTCCCAGGCTGTGTGGCCAGAGGTTCAGAGACAAGCCCAGCTTCCCTCCTGCTGGGCCACAGCAACCCCAGGCCGGGCCCTTTCCTCTGGCTCTCTGGCCAAGCATTCCCGAACAGGTGGAAATAAAGGTTGGGGGTTGGTGGGGAGAGTCTGGGGTGAGCCAGCCCACGGTGCCGCCCCATCACACACCATGGCACAGACCCTGCACCATCCTGCTTCAGGAGGCCATGGAAAGGCCGTGGGTCCAACCTGTCTTTCCAGAAAAGCCTGTGACTGTCCCCCTCTGACCACCCCAGCTCCTGCTGTGGCCTCTCCAGCCACACTGCGGCTGGACAGCAGCCACCAAGACCTGGGGCTGGCAGAGACCCCTCCATCGCTGAGGGAATCGGGTCCTATTTCTGGATGTGCAGAGGCTGCATGCTGATTCAGGGCCCTGGGGGCAAATGCAGGGTCTTCCCCTCCCGCCCCGCAACCTTGGCCACTGCTGGTGAGTTTAGGTTTGCTCCGAGGGGCTCAGGCAATTGGCCCCCAGATTCCTGGTGTGCCCGGGGTGGTGGGACTGCTCCTGCAGGTCCCTCTCCATACAGGACAGATGGCCTGGGGATGACAGCTCTGGGCAGGGCAGGGCTGGTCTGGGCGCTGGGCCCTTTTGCAGCCAATGGCAGGACCAGGCCTGGAAGGGAGGGACTCTCCGTCTTTGGACTCCAGTGCCTTGAAATCCCACAGACCAGGGGCGCAGGGAACCAAGCCAGGGATACCTGGCCAGGAAAATCGGCGGCAGGTGGACAAGGACCTGCGTCCAGCCCCACCTCTCCGAGGTCCCACCTGTCCTGGTGCCTGCCCCGGAGCAGCCAGGTGCAGGGAGCGGGGGAGGGGCGCCGCTCACCCCCAGGGACCCCCGACCCAGTGCAGGCGGAAGCGGGTGGGGCATGACGTCACCCAGAGGTGGCCCCCGAGCCGGCAGACCCCATGCCCCGGCAGCACCCTCCGTTCCCTCCCTGCAGCCAGCCCCAATTTCCTCTTTCTGTGCCGAGCCTGAGCTTTTGCAACGTAGCAGGCGGTCCACGGTGACCGAGAGACACGCAGCCTGGCGGGGGAGGGGAGGGGAGGGGAGGCGGCTGCCGGGGGGCCTCTGGGGCCCTGGGGAGGCGCCTCCCGCTCCGCCCGGCCCGGGGAGACATCTGGGTCCCCGCAGGTGCAAACGGGCCCGGGCCCCACCCGAGCGCCGACCTGGCCCGGTGTTCTGCGCCGCTACCCCCGCCCGCCCAGTCCCTGGCACCCCCGCACCCACCCGGGACCCTCGCGCCCACCCAAAAGGGCCCACCCGGCCCGCACCTACCCGGGGCGCCACAGTCCGCGCAGCGCTCATTCCCCGGCCGCTGCAGCAGCTCCAGGACCGCCCTGCGCCGCTCCTTGGCCATGGCCGCGATGCGCCCGCGATGCTGATGCCGGGGCCGGGGCCGGGAGCGTCCGCCCGGCTCGCTAGGACCCGGCGCAGGCCGCCTGCCGCCGCCGTCCCTGCGCCATCCCAGGCGGCTTCAGCCCGCGCGCCGGTTCCGCATTCCTCCCGCCCTCCGCCGCCGCCGCCGCCGCCGCCGCCGCCGCCGCCGCCGCTGCTTGTGTCTCCACCGCGGTAGCTCAGCCAGTGCCAGCGCGGGGCCCGGGGCGCACGTTGCGCTCTGGCCGGCAAGGCCCGTGGGCGGCCCCCAGCGGCGCGGGCGGGCGGGCGTGTGGCCTCCTCCCTTGGCCGCTCCAGCACCCCCAGCCCGAGCGCCCCAGGAACCCGCAGGGAAGTCGCCGCCGCCCGCCCCCATCCGGGGTGCAGTGCCCCACCTGCCCGGGCATGAGGCACCCCCAAAACCTGGCCGGCCTAGGTGGGACCCTCGTGCAGCCGCATGCGCCAGGACGGAGCCTGCATACCCACTGTGGGGCCGCGCAGGAGTCTCGGGCGCAGAGGGCACCTGCTGAGCCCACCAAGACCATGGGCACGGGGGTGCTCCTGGAAGAAAGGTATGTGTGTCCCTCTGGGGACCAGCGCGCTCACACCATCCCTGCCTGGGAGGGGCGGACAGCAAGAGACAAACGCCACCGTCCCAGGGCACTGAGGCTGCAGAGGGCACAAGTGGAGCCTCCCCCTGAAACCCACCCCGCCGCCCACCACCCACAGACAGGACCCACTGGGCACCCCTCCCACTCAGGCAGGCTGAGGGTCTCGGCCAGGACCTGACATGGGGGCTGACCGGTAACAAAGAACCTGGCTTTGATGTCGCCTCCTCCCAGACTTGGGAGCCCTTCTGCATACCCCAGCGATTTTTCCAATTCTTTCCATTTTCTTCTTACATTGTTAACGCAATACATACTACTGAAAACAGGCCGGCTCTTGTCTGCCAAAGTGCAGCGCGCGCCCTGGGCCCCAGCAGGACTGAAAAATGAAAAGCCTCCCGCCACTGCCTTCCAGGCAGCCGTGATTAACAAACAATTCCTCAGCACCTTCGAGAACGAAGGTCCTCGGCCTGAAGACTTTCATTCATTCAGGGAGACCGGGTTTCTTGGCTAAGGGCTGTCATCCCAGCACTTTGGGAGGCTGGTGGATTGCTTGAGCTCAGGATTTGAGACCAGCCTGGGCAACATGGCAAGACCCCATCTCTACAAAAAATACAAAATTTAGCCAGGTGTGATGGTGGGGGCCTGGAGTCCCAGTTACTCAGGAGGCTGAGGTAGGAGGATCATTTGAGCCCAGGAAGTTGAGGCTCTTCCTGGTGTCACTGCACTCCAGCCTGAGACGGGGGTCTCACCTTTGTTGCAGGCTGGTCTTGAACTCCTGGGCTCAAGCAATCCTCCTGCCCCAGCCTCTCAAAGTGCTGTGTTTACAGGTGTGAGTGCCGTACCCGGACTCTTTCTTTTTAAATGGTTGCATTCATTCTACTCAAAAGTCCAGCCAGACATGGTGGCTCACGCCTGTAATCCCAGCACTTTGGGAGGCTGAGGCAGGTGGAGTTCAGGTGTTCAAGACCATCCTGACCAACATGGTGAAACCCCGTCTCTACTAAATACAAAAAAATTAGCCAGGTGTGGTGGCGCAGGACTGTAATCCCAGCTATTTGGGAGGCTGAGGCAGGAGAATCACTTGAACTCAGGAGGTGGAAGTTGCAGTGAGCCGAGATTGCGCCATTGCACTCCAGCCTGGGCAACAAGAGCAAAACTCCATCTCAAAAAAAAAAAAGTTCAACTGGACCATGACTTGTTCACCTGGTCACTGGCAGAGGGGCATTTAGAGCATCAGATCATGGTCTACACAACCTCCCCTTGCACCAACATCTTTGCAAGAGTTTTGTGTGGATCTGCACTCCAAGTGGCATCGCAGGGGCAATGGCATGGGATGTGGAATGGCTTCCACTGAGGCTGCACCCACCAGAGTGCCACCAAAGGTACCTGTCCCCGTGCTCCAGCCGATGAGGGATTACGGAGCTGCCTAAGCTCTGTCCACCTGAGGCAAAACTCGGCAGCCTGTTTTACTCTGCGTCTCTGGCATCACATGCTGTCTCCCTGTAACTGTTCACACAGGTCTTTCTCCTCCCTCAGACTGGAGCCTCTGGGGCAAGGACAAGTGCCATTTCCATCTCTGGGTCCCTGTGCCAGGCTTGGAATCCACTATACAGCATGAGTTTTGAGAATGTGGCTTAATAAAGACAGACGAGCATTAGTAACAGCAGCAGCTCTGTGCTAGGCATTAGGAGAAAGAGAAACAGCCTGACTTGTATTTTCTTTTTTTCTTTTTTTCTTTTTTTTTTTTTTTTT